TTGCTTGGTTAATTGAGTCAAAACTTCCAAATATCTGAAAGTTTTTCGAATTAAAAATTCAAATTTATTGCGCTTGAGATTCTGTGATGTAAATTATTTTTGACATCATAAAATCTCAAGCTTAATAAACTTAACTTTTTAAATTTTACATTAAATTTTAGCCAGAAATATTAAATTCGCAAGAAAATTATGAAATCCATTTGAGAGTAATAACAAAAAATATGTATAAGATTTATCAAAATATTCTGAATCCGGGGTACGTAACACACAGCATTGCAAGCTGTAGCTGCAACATATGCACTTATAATTTCTATATTATTCGACTATTACGGTTAAAATATAAGACAACTTTAAGATTTCAGGGTCTTATGTAAAATGTATAGCTCATTTTAGCATACCAGTCATTACAATTCGGTGTAAAAGCCTGAATTGTTCAACGAAAACCACAATACGGCTGACAAGTATAACGAAACTTAGGGACATGTTGTATATTATTGTTATATATTCCAAACTCAGCATGTAGGCGTAACTCAGCTTTGGAGGCGAGTGAATAGATCATCCGGTATTATAAACTGGATAAAAAAAGAACGAAAAAAATAAAACGAAATAAACATTTCAAGTCCATAACCTTAACAAAAGTTTTTTCACTAGGTTAATTTTCTATGTAGATGTTGCAGCAGTACCTTGTTTAAATTTATTGGCGGAACATATCCAACTTTATGCTGCCCGTATTAACAAGATCTCTTGACAGTCATGTTTTCATAGTGTAGGCTGAAACCTCAGCCAAATTGTCCCATAAGCAAACAAAGCAAATATATTTTGTAAATCCACCTTGTAATCTCAACAGTATAGCAGTGATCTTTATATCTCCACAAATTTATCAGCTGTACTTATTATAATGAATCACATAAAATAACAAAGGCAGATTTTCAAATACGCTAATTGTATTGACAATTTTGCATTTTCTTTGTGCACAGTTCAGCTTTGAGCCTTTTTTACACAACAGCAATAAATAGCCTCCATTCTATCCGAAAGTGTTGATAGCCTAGCTTGCCTTTTATCTACATTTTATGCTGATCACCCATTTCATGCCTATGAACCTTTTCCATACTTATCGATACTGAAATTCTCAAAATTTCCAGACACATAGCTTTCGTACTGAGAGTAACTAAAATCTCGAAAATAGGAGCTTTGTTAGAAAATTTCACAAATTCCCCCTATTTTATCTACGTTATATCATAGATAATTTTTCATTTTTTATCGAATGATTTACGAGTCACTTGAAGGGACCATTACTAAAAAAATAAAAGAACGTACAATTCATTACTGTGTGATGATTATTGTTGCAAATCCTGGAAGTTATGTGAATATGTTTAATTTTCGTTAGTGATATTCCAGTGTGAAAGGGATTTCAATATTTTACCCTAAAATAGAGAGTTATGGAATATTTTCGTGTTTATATTTTCATTAGTTTATATTCATTCTTCATTCTACATTATATATTCTTCAATAGCACATAAAAATTATTTGAAGTTGAATATTTTTATCTACCAGGTTGAATATTTTTATCTACAGGGAAAATCTTTTTATTTGGTACTCTAAGAAATATCTTATTATCCTATAGCGTGAATAAATGCTGTTAAAAATTATTTATGCTTTAACAGATTGTTTTGGAGTGGTACAGACCTTTTTAGCAGGAGGATTGGAATAAGTTAATTTTAATATCTTCCCATTTGAAAATGCTTGACAATAAGGCATCAGTATAAACTGGAGACAGTATCTTGTGGATACACAATTTTATATAAAATTACTATACCCTGAAGAAGGATACAGTAATTTTATATAAAATCATAGACATTAATTTTTTAAGTCTTATAGAGATTGAATTATTAGTGCATTATATGAGAGGTAGACACATGCTAATCCTAGAATGATATTTCTTGAGTTCATTCAGTAAACAACGTTTGTTCGTATGCAAAAGAGGCTGACTTCCTCCGGACGTCCGCAACTCAAAAAAGCAACTGCGTTCGCGTCAACTGCTGACAAAAACCGATAAGTGAGAGGATATGATACCAAATGGGAATTAAAATCACAACCTCTGGAGGATTGTTAAAAGTTTGTAGGAGAGGGAAAGGAGTTATAGTATCGTTTCCTACTTTTAACGTAATAGTTTTACACAAATATTTGATTACCGTGAAAGGAATTTGATAGGATTACGATACATTGCAATGATTTTATGTATATATTTTTTCATATTCAGTATTACGGGGGTTTCTTGAAATTTAATGTGCAAACTATGTCGATATAACTATTAAATTTTAATAAAAGTGTTTAACAAAATGTTTTGTTCTAAATCAATCTTTAAATATTTTATATATTTATGCACTTCTAAAAGAGTGCATTTCAGTTTATATTTTGTAAGACACTCGTTTCACTATGAATCGAGGAATAAATCAAAAAACAACATTCAATATATTTATAATTTAATATGTGTAGGCTCATTGTCCTGTTATTTACGCTATAGGGGTAACTAATTTATGAACAAAATTATTAATATCATCAAAATTAAATTCGATTATCGTATTTCTGATGGCATAGAGAACAAAATCCGTTTCCAAACCAAGCAAAAAAAGATTACATCTGTATTGGCGAAGTCAGTGTTATCAATACAAATTACAGCTATGTTACTTTTTAAAATTAAAGCTGCTATGTGAGAAACTGGCTTCTTAATTTTTCGGGAGAAATTAATCTCAAGAAAATTCTATTATAAAAAAATTGAACACGTTTTCGTTCTAAAAAATCAATTTATTCTATTTTTATCCCTTCTAATGTGTAACAAATAAATTATTGCTTCTGGTGCTAATCTCTCATATCTTAATTATAGATTTTCTTCTGCGATTCTGAAAAATAGTTTACGCATTAGACAGTGAGAAAAATTCTCAGAAAGAATTCAAATTAATTTTTATGAAACAAAAAAACTTGCTGACTTCGGTCGTTTAAATTTCACGAGACATCAGTAAGCATAGGAAAATAAAATTCAATTAGGAATTTTAGATTTCACTTGAAACCAATTAAAACCAATTTCGCTGCAGAATTTCTCTCTGAAAGTTTTATCACAAAGCTTAAGCTATGGAATGCGTATTTTAGAACAGCATTCCTACCAGATCTGCCTCTGAGAGAAAGAGACACTTTTTCTCCTTCCGCTGTTAAGTTGCAGATTATTTGTGTTTTAACCAATCATCTTCTTCTCTACCGTTATTAAATGGATCATATTTTCCTTTACACGATAACCCATCAATGATTCGTTGTGGTTGGCTGTTTAAAGTATGTGATAAAGTGAAAAAAGAATAGTTGGAGCTAATTTTTTTTTAAAAATGTGTGATAACAGTTAACCTTTCCTATCTGTACTTTAATGTGTATATCAAAAATAAAACCTAATGATAATTCCCAAGTTCTTTGGCTACATGACAACCTGTATCATGAATATGATTCTTTCTTTTTACTACTAATTATTTCTGAATGCTTTATAAAAATGATTTCGATTGTATTGGAAAGGAAAATTCGTAAATGCTATTGCAAATAATTCATAAAATATTTTAGCAAAGTATTTTGTTTCTGACATAAAATTCTTGTTACTAATTTAATGGAGGCTATCAAAATATTTTAGAGAGTTATATTACACTACGTTATTTATCATAAGCGCAATATGGGAAGTGAGTTCATGTACAGATCATAAGATTTTTCAAATTAGAACTTCTTAATAAATTGGATAATTTAAATGCAATAAACGGCTTTCGCAATAATTTAAACTCTTATTTTACTTCTTAATAAGTTTTTAATTGATACAAATTATTTAATACAGTTACTAATTCATAAATATATTTACATTATTGATAATTTTTATATTTTGTTTTGTTTGATTGATCACGACAAAATTTTTACGAGCTTTTTCAGCGTTGCTAGAATTAATAAAAAGTGCTTTTAACACTTTTCATTATACATTGGATACAAAAGCTTTTGGATTTTACATTTTAACTTCATGAACGTTTTTTGCGAAGTTTAAATTAGCGCCAATGTATTACTATCGTTGAAAATCAACCAAAATTCCCTTCAGGTGCTAGAATGAGATTATTCTAGAAGACAACTGACAAAGGTCATATTGAAAACTTTATATTTTTAGCTCGAAAGGTCTATTACTTTCGGAACACGATTTTACATTCTTTCACTTTTCATCTGAGTCTATTGCCATTCGAAAAAACGTAAGACATTTTTCTTTGTTATTTAATCTGTCCGTTATTAATTAACAAATTAAACTATTTAAAAGCAATAGATGCATATCTTAAAAGTATTATTTTTTACTTTTTAATCTGATTGATTTAAATTAAAATGCATGTAGTTCATGATATAGTTTATTAAAAACATTAAATATTTTTCTGGAGTTATATTACGTTATTTTTTCACTTTTTAAACATGCAGAAGGAATATAACGTTTCCATGTAAATCTTAAGTCTTATCTTAAAAGTATATTAATTTGTCTTTATATCTGAAAAGGTTTCGTTATTTCAGCTACCTGTAGCGATAATCTCTACTACTCAACCTGATGGGAATAAAATATGTTAAATTTAAAGATTAAGCATGTTAAAGAGTTCTTTTAGAAGATCATTAAAATTTGAACCCTTTCAGAATATTGTTTTTCGGTTAATTTTCTCGGGGTGAACCAAGGGCCAAATAAAAGTATTTATCAGCTACATGTGCTATTAAAAATGTAAAAATTAAGAAGAATATTATTAAGTAATGCAAACGCCCTTTCCAAATCCCTTATTTTGCTATTCTAGCAAGAATAAATATGAATAAAGTCTATTACAGAGCTTGGAACAGTAAAAGTTCGCAGCTTTCGCAATTTGTTTGTTATTTTCCCTTCGTTTCTACTAAAATATCTTTTTTTTTTTTTAGTTTCTTTTCTTTTTTAAACTTTATTTAAGTCATTAATTTTCTTTCAGTCTGTACTAGAAGTTACATCGCAAGATGTGGCCCAACCCGATCTTGTACCTTTCGCTGTGCCCAAATCGGACGTATCGGGACCAGTTCCTTCTCCTATTGGAGGTCCTGGCGGCAAGAAACAAGGTGTTTCAGGTGAGAGTGGAGCGCAGAACTTCAAAGGAATGATAGATTATATTCTGGAGAAACACGAGAAAGATTTCAGGTAAAGAAATCAAACTTCTCTTTCCATTACCATAGTTACGTAAAATGTATTAATGGTATTTTTTTCTAATAAAAAATAACTGTGGCCTGTAGCTAAGCAAAACCACTTTTACGGTCTGTCATTAATGACAAATAAAATTCATTGCTCCTAAAAAAAGTAAGAGCTTACAAATTATATTGGTACAGCATAGATTCATTATGTTATTACTAATCATTACAATCCCCCGCCCAAAAAAAAATACTTCAGTAAAGAAAAATAAAATAAGCTATTATTCAAGAAGTACAAAAGTGTAAATTTAGCGAGTTTTAGAAGATGGTTTGTAATATAAAGAAATTCATTTCATGGATTGTAAACTGCAATTAAATAAGATATTGTAATTAAATAAGCTGAAGACGCAATACATAATAAATTGTTTAGTACACTACACTTTTGGCAAGCTATTACACGGTAAAGAAGTACCTAAAAGCCAGTAAGCATTAATAGATTTCGAAGAGTGTCATTAATTATAATAATCATTCTCCTCAAAATTTAATTTGGGTATTTATTGTGTTTACTTTCTTGATTAATTACTACACTCCAAAACATTAGAATAAACTCTTGTCACCATTCTTATTCGCAAAATTAAAACTATTCTCTCGTAAATACGATTAATTATTAAAATCCGTACTGCATATATTTTTCCGAATAATTTACGATATAACAATTAAATAATGAGACTGAGTTTAGGAAGTAAAGCAAACAAACAAATAAACAAACAAAAAATATAAAAGCAGTACTTGATTCTAAGTACATCCTTTTTACATCCATACACCTGAGAAAGTTTAGAATGAACATGTAGTTATATGTTTGTATTTTAATATTGTCCGAAAACTCGATGTTACAGCTTTTTATATGTCTTTAACTTGATCGTAAAAGCGCCTTTTAATAGTAATTTAGCTTTGAGAACAGAAAATAATTCACAGAAGGACCAATCTGAGGAGTAGGATGGATAGCCAGCCATCCAAATTTGCTTTTTGCGAAAGTATCTTGTACAACTGCTGCCCGTTGAGTGTGCGCAGTATCGCGAAGAAATCATAAGACACTACCGCCTGTTGAGTATTCAGGTCCCATATTTAGAGAATACTCTTCCGTATATATTCTGGAACAGTTGATTAAAAGGTCTTTGATAACTTGCTCCTACGGAATGCGGAATTTTTCATTTATATGATAACTGACTGACAGTCAGAACTTTGGCATTCATGAATACTGTATCTAGGGGAACGTACCCGAAATATTATGTTTCATCCTCAGCAAAAATCAGTTTTAAGGAACTCTAATTCTTCTGAAAATCTGAAGAATATTTTGCATCCTGTTTACGATTATGTCCCTGTTATGATTTTGATCACCAGACAAAGAATATGGCACAACATGAGAAGCAAATTTCTTCTTGTCAAATATTTTCCACTGAAATTTTACGAATAACTTCTCTTTGTTTTGTTTCATGCCGATCTACAGTAACATCAGACCAGGTCTCTAATATCAGAGGAAGCCCACGAAATTCATCGTGGCGAGGGGTTAAGATTGCGCCTGTCGTTGGCAAGAGCCTTGAGCACTACATAGATAGAAGTATGATTTTGCTCAATTCTGCCCTCAATTTTGAAGAAGAGGACTCCCACCCCTTTTCCCCTACCACAACCTCTCGACAGGAATTTCGGCTCCCCGCGTGTTTAGAGTGCCCTCATGTCGTGCAGACACTATACATTTACAAACATCCATGCCTTCTTTGGGATTCGAACTCGGACCTTTCGGTATGCCAGTCAGAGTCCCTAACCATTATATCGGGTGGGCGGCGAGTAACCTCTTCACTAGCAGAAGACGTATAGGTTGTCACCCTCGCAGTCAGACAATAATATTCTTATAGCCACTTTCTGATTTTTTTTAGTTGAGCTCTTTTCTCGTTGCAAACAGAATCTGGAAGTCCTGGTCTAACTTCATCTTCTATCGTTTCTATACTTTTTCGGAATCATTCCATGATACCTGAATATTTGCGCGAAATGAACAATTATCTCCATACACTTATCTCATAAATTAGCTTCAAAATTGAAATAAAACTTAAGCTTCAAGCTGCTTAACGTTCTCTCACTAATGTGTGCGGAAATAGTGCATTAATTTTCGTCACATTTAGATAACCATATTGGAATGTTGTCAGGTTAGTAATAAAGTTTGATGATTTTGACAATATATACTCTACCAATGGCGTTTTAATTTAACAATAAAAAATCACTCATTATTTATTTGTCAAACCGAACATATGGAAAACATAGTTACCACACAAGTTTTATTTCTATCATATTAAATAAAATTATGTATCAGTTCTTTTTTGTTGGAGCTAAATTTTCAAGCACGCACATTATGTAAGTACGTGCATATATGTGATACAGCTATCATAGCACAAAGTCTTCAAAGTTATTCTGAAGGGTAAATTATTATGAATTTATTCCACACATCATGGCTGTTTTCTAATTAAGATCATAATAAAACAGCGAATTATTCAGTCTTATATTCTAAAGGCTGCCAGCTGCCTTCTTTTAACATATTTTTTTTGTATAGAAATGTACATTAAATGAATATAATGTAGATTAATTAAAAATATAATAGCTCTGAACGTGCATCACTTCTGAACTAAGTATTCAAATATTAGAAATTAGGCGTACAATATAAGCAAAATTTCCACAAACTGCAAAATTAAAAACTGATTTTTTGAAAATGGCAAGCAGAATCAAAAACTTCAATTTTCTATTTCATCAATTCTAACTAGGAGCTCCCAATTTATATATGCATTGTCTACTGACACGTGAAAATAAACCTTCAGAATAATATCTTAATCTTGATGCCAGAAGTACCAGAATAATATGCCGTAAGCACTAAGAATTTAGTTTAAAATTTTTGTGCTAGACTCACACGTGATGAGTTGAAGGAGAAGAATCCCTTCTTACTCAAAAAATGAGGTTAAAATACCACGTGTTTGTAACGTCGACACCAATAACTGCGAGTACCTGATTAATGACATAAAACTGAAAGCATATGTCAATCCTTTTTAAAGAGGAACGGCCTTGATCAGTGAACATAAGCGGCTTAAAACAGTAGTTCCGTGTTCCTTCCTCTTCATAGATCTGTCTGACATTTTAAGGTTTACACATCACAGATGTGAATTCGACTACAGCAATCGCTTCCACGTATATTCTTCAAAATAACGCGTCTGATATTTAAGGGGTTTCCTTATTGTGCGTCTACATCTGGTGGAGAAAACTTTTTTTTTTTTTTTTTTTAATTTTCAATAGCAGGCACAAACCGTTAAAGGCATTGGCCTCTGCTAAGGCCGGAAGCGGTGGTCACGTTATTATGGAGGCTAGAGGCACCTAATAGGTGGGCCACCGTTGCCTCCTATGAAGGGCCAGACAATTTGCATCTATGCATTCTCGGGATTCGAACCTTGGCCCTTCGCTGCAGCAGTCAGGATCACTAACAACTTTGCCGTCTGGGTTATATAAATTTTTATAATCTAAATTATAAAAATTTAGATTTTGAGGTCTCCTATAGAAGCATTCCTCCATTGCCTGTTGGTGATATTTAAATGATTTTTATCAGTCTCAGATTTATATTGACTCAGGATATTGCTCATGATTTCAATGATTTTTATAATGTTCGTTCATCATCGATATAAATGGAATTAAGTCCCATATGAGATAACAGCTTCTTTATAGTTTCAATCTTAACCTTTTGCAGTTCGGAAAAATTAATCTTTGAACTGTTCACGTTTTCAATCATTTTAACTCAATTAAGTATATTTATTTAAAGAAATGCTTTCTTTTTTAAGCTGACATTCTACCAAAAATGCTAATATTTTTAAAAGCTGTAAAGTAAAATGCGTTTTAAAGTAATTTTATGGCCTAAAGTGAGTGCAAGAAACTTTCCAAATTATCTAGTACAGGGATGTTCAACTATTCGAAGCTTCTAGAGTCCATGGTACAATGAAAACACACTGAGGGAAGCAAAATCAAATTTATGCTGAAAGCCACCTTCAGGATTTAATATTTGTAAATGATCAAATATAAACTGCATAGCTTTTGCATAATTACATTTACTTTTCCATTCAATATACGCTAATTAGGAAAAATTACCAAGCGTGTTCATAAAATGAGCATTTTTAATGTTAACAACAAACTTCAGTTTTTCAGTACTAACGTATCTATATAAACACAAGTTTGATACACGCCCTAGAAAAAGTCTTTCAAATTATTTGTCAGTAATTTCCTTTTCTGTTTGCTTTCATACATTTTATATTGAAAAATATTGGCTCTCAGTAAGTTAACACATTTGTATAAGACTAATTTTTAAAAATTGGTTTCTCGCTTTGCTATGTAGTTTTCTTTGACTTCAATACATTTGGTATATTAATCTGTTAAGTGACTTAGTTGTCTCCAGATCACTCCTGATCAGCTTGCATCATTATCGTCTTTGCCATCATCATCGTCATATGCCACTTCAATTTTGTAAGCGAAAAGAAGAACGCAGATCTAGTGAATACGGTTGATGAAACAGAAACTAAAATTCTCAATTGTTGAACAGGAATCTGGGAAATATGAGCCTTATATGCTAAAGCTTTTCCGTGCTAAAGTAAAACTTTTCTGCTAAGTTTGCCATGATGTTTACCTTTATGGTTTCCCAAATTTGAGTGAATAGATTTTATTTAAAAAACACCTAATATCGTAATTATTATCTGGAATATAATCAATAAGTAGTGGTTCCTCTTCATTCCAAGTATAGTGCTCAATCAAATTCTTTCCAGCAAAGTTCTCGGGTCTGAATTTGTGGAGTTTGGAAGATACATTATGTATACAAGCCATGCTGTCCTGTTTTGTTTCTGTGTCTCAACGATGAAGCCTATTTCATTTGCTCTCACTAGCCATGAAATACTTTTTATTAGTAGCTATCGTTCACATTCTTGTTCTCTGTGTGCAAGTAATATCCAACCCTTTTTTACCTCTACCAAGAATTAAACTCCGTAGCAAGTACCAAGTTTACATGGTCATCTGTCAGTCTTGCTGTTAAGAGACAAGAAGTTTTGATGGAAAATATTCTACAATTTTTCAAAAATTTATTTATTTCTAAATTTAAAATATTATTTAAAATTAAATATAATTGAAAAATTAGAGCCAATTTTATTTTATAAATTTATTAATAAATTTTATAATTAATTTATTTACCAAATGTATGTTATAGAGCAAATATATTTGCTCTATAAAAAAGTGAGTTACTTTTTTTATAGAGCCAAATGTATATTCAATATTTTCTTCAAAAAATTAATGTGTTAAAAAGTTGCTTTAGTTTTAATTCGAATCTGAATTCTTTTTTTAACATTTATTTAATTTATTGCTCACCCTATATGTGTTTTGATATATTTTTACATCTTAATATTTTATAAAAATTTAATAAAGAAATCCTGTCGAGCATTTTAATATATATTGGAAACCAATAAAATTCAAAGCATTTCATGAGACAATAAGAATTTTAACATTTTAAATTTGCGTTTTTAAAACTTTTTACGGATTTTTACGTAACTCTTGAAATAGTATTGAATACAGCATTAAGGAGCTCCAAACTAAATATCAGATATAATTACTCACATATTTACGTATGGTTAATTTTATCATCACTGATTCTCGTGGAATCTTAATTTCCTGACGAAGAATGTTCTGTTTTGGGGAAATCTAACTGAAGAATACTAGTTTAAAACATTGGAAAATACAAAACTGAGGAACAGAACCGCCCTTTAAATGCAAAGAAACGCTCAGAAAAATGTTACTAAAATGTCTTCTTCAATATAAATTAACAGAAAAGATTTATTAATGCATTAAATTTAACTACGATTTAAAATACAAAATCATTGGCTTTTAACTAAATAGAGATAGTTGCTTAATGAAATAAAAAAACACACTATTAGTGTAATTTAATAACTGTATCTTAAAATGTAGATTTTTCTTATATAATTTAAGCACATTTTAATTTTCTCAATATTGTGTTATCTCAAGCCAGCGCATATAATGATATATAGGATTACAAAATGATAACAGGAAGCTGAACATAAATGAATTAAAGTACTTTAATTAGACTTCCTTTCTAGTTCTCAAAAAGTCAGCCTCCAAAAATACCAATCACGGATCTTCTAGATCTTATTTTAATTTAGGGTATAAAGTATTTTCTCCCTCCTTTCCGAATGCCTTTGTGGTGTAATAATAAGTATATTCGAGGCGTATTCGAGGTCCAGGGTTCGAGTCCTGGGGAGGCCACTGCACATTTTTCTCGTCTCCTTCTTCAACATAACCTAACGGCTCTACAAGTGACGCCCGAACTAAAATGTGGTGGACGAGAATTCGTCACCACCATTGTTTGGCAACTCGGCCCCCTAATTCCCAGTCGTCTTTTGAAAGGGGAAAGGCATTTCCCCCTCCTTTCCGCGTGCTTTCGTGGTGTAATTGGAAGCATACTCGGCAAAGGATTGGAAGCATATTCGAAAGGTCCAGGATTCGAGTCTCGGTGAGTGCACTGCACATTTTTCATGTCTTCTGCTTCAAAAAAACCTAATGACTCTATAAAAGAATACCTTGCTGGTAACAGCAAAAAACTCACAGTCTCGTATTCTGAGAAGTATAGTTTCTCTTCCCTCTTTTCAACAGTCAGAAAAATTTGCGTATGGTTGCTCCTTTCTTCTCTAAGTTATTCTTTTTTCCCTGATGTGTCAAGTAGAAAGTGATCTAATTTTAAAATGTAAATTTAGAGTTATAAATACTAGTCAGAGTGTATCAAATAGAATGATATCTTTATCTGTTATTATCACTAAACAAATTAGATCTAAATGAAAATCATATTATAAATGGAGTCCAGGTATTCTTGGAGATACTGCTGGTTGCTTCCATTCAGCTTTAGGTATTTCTGGTTTGCTAGATCCCTTTCTTCATCCCTAAGATGAATGGAGGCGAACCCGCAATATCTCGAAGCGAATGTCTCAGTAAATCTTTCGGTTCATATGTCACTTCAAAGTACTGCAGCAACACGTTGACAGACCTTTTCTAGTACAGTTAAATGTACGTCTATTTAACCTGAAAGTGTCTGATCACCTTAGTATAAAGCAATTAGGCTAATACATATTCTATTCCTTTTATGTTCGCTGAAATAACACTTGATTTCTACCAAGAATATTTCGTTCGTGTCAACTACTCGGCTATTTGAGGTTACTAATTTGCAGCTTTTTTCAGCGTTTCATATACTGTTAGAAAAATTATTTTTTAACTTTCGACTTAAAATAGAGATTTACAATTCTTCTATCTGAAGACATTAACTGCAATTAAGAACATTAAATTCAATATTATATACTTTGAATATTTTAAGAACATTGAGGAATTCTGCCTAAGAGGATGAAATTTATAGGCAATGTTTGAAGATAAGGAGAAATTCCTAAGTGGAGCAATTTAAATAATAGAAAAGCCAATCTTCGGAAAATTCCATTAATAAATGAAAAATTTAATATTAAATACTAAAGAGATGACAGTACTTTGTTATATAGTCTAATTTCAGCATAAAAGCGAAGAAAAAGCTTAAAATGTGATAATGTGGCACAGAGATACAAAGAAGTATATACAATACACACTATGTTACCGACTGACTGGACTAAAACAAGATGATCAAAGCTTTGATAGCTCAGTTTCAGCAAAAGGCAGAAAAAAAAAATATCTCTCTACTTGGAAAGATTTTTGTTTTCGTAATGTCTCTTATTCCAAAAGTGTTTTTATCAGAAATTAGCATGTGTGCATGAAAAAACAAACTCGAGATCCTCATTAATTAGAATGGTAATTTTTGATATATATATTGTTACGGATTTTGTATGTATTTAGTTTGCTATTTTTAATATAATTGTTATTAAAATTGTTTTATATATTCCTGTGCAAAGCAGTACGAGGCTTATTTGAAGAGAAAGCTAAGCCGAAAAATTAAAAATACGGGATTTAATTATGCGCATTTAATAAGTAGATATCACGTAATTGTACTCTTTTGCTTTCCAGTAAACTCGAGAAATTACGAGAAGATTTCCGTGCATTTAAAAAGCTTATAAAAGCTGGAGAAAAATATCTCAATTTAGTTATTGTTTGGATAACTGTCGTGTTTACTGTAGCGAATTCGCGGTGAAATGAGATTAGCTTTCTCTGTTTTGAATTAAGTTCTGTTGAACGTTTTAGTAGCTTAAAGGTAACTACTGTGAGACATTGGGATATTGTACGAATATCTCTAAGGAAGTTGTAAGCATTTTGTGTTTATTTGTTATGATAAGAATAAATTTTATTCACTTTTCATCGGACTTGTGCATTCAATTTATTACGAACCCGTATGCACGCAACAATATATATATATATATCTCAGTCCTTAGTCAAATATATATATATTATACTAAAAATATAGACAACCAGGCGATTAAGCATTTCCTGCAGCTCTGGTTGATGTCAAGTTTGCCTATCAACCATGTCAGCTTGTCTTATCGGATCTTCTCTGTAATAAAAAGAATGACTGAAATCTCTGGCGATTTCTTTAAAGAAGACAGAAAATCATTCAGTTAAAGTTGAATTGCGGAGCAAATATTCCATCTGTATGATTTCTGTTTAACGAAATATGGAATATTTTATGTGACATACCACATTATCTTAACTTGAATGAATAGCTTTCAATACTGTTATAATTGTAGTAGGTATTACTTATGTGTCACAGTACTCATTAGTAAAAGGAGCTCCTTTCCTTGCGACAAATTTTCGTGCACTTTTTACGTATTTTCACTTTTTGACTTTTAAAAAAAATTAAGAACTTTGAAAAAATTTATAGATTTTTAATTACAGTATGCTGCATTTTTGGGATAATGCTACATTATTTTAACTGTTCTTTAAATGCAGAAAATAGGAAAAGAGAAAACCTCTTTTTGGAGCTTTTTATTCAGATGCGTCGTAAGATTGGAAAAATGACACGATATACTTCCTAAAACATGACCGTTTTACAGTTTTCCTCAAGTTGAAATGAGATAGACTTATTCAACTTAAAATAATCAAAATCAAAAAGGAAAAAAAAAAAAAAAAAAAAAAAAAAAAAAAAAAAACAGTTTTTATATGATAGTTTTTATGAAATTTTTTTTAATGTTTCAGATGGAAACAGTTGATCAAAGATGCCATCTTGGGAAATGATTTCTTGCAACATTTGGTGAACTCATATCAAGTAAAAGAAATAGTAGACTGCATGTATTCAAAAGAGGTGCCTGCTGGCTCCCTGGTCATAAGGGAAGGAGAGCCTGGAAGGCACCTATACGTTTCTGCAGGTAACATATGTTTTATTTCGAATTCTTTTTTAGCTTTCTTCCTTTTTTGCCATGTTAAGTTATACCTAAAAAGCATAATTCAAAGATTTCATTTTCTCTAAATTGTTATATTTCATAGTTTTGGAATCCCTATTTTCCTCTCAATAAAAGAAATTCAACTGTTCCCCAGCTTTCATAATATCAATTCAAGGAAAACTGGCTATTATTAGTTTTCTTTAGGAACCCAAATATGTTCTAGGGAATATGTAATCTTCTATTACATATTCCCTAGAACCTAGTATTACATATTCCCTGTGTGAAATAAAACACACAATATAATTTAACAGCAGCATTTGAAACTCATAGATGAACATAAATATGAAGTTATTTCATTATGTATGTGATAAATTCTGAGGTTCATGAAATATTTAATAATAAGCGTTACAACCATTGCTATAGATGATAAACGACATAGTGAAATAATAATAAATAATAAACGATAGAATTATGAAAGCTTTTGTAGATATACCGGGAGAGCTGTATCATTTGCGTCATGGCTATGAGAAAGCATCCTATATATTCGTGGATAGCAAGATTATGTATATTATCTTTCAGAGGAGAAATTTTATAAATTTTTTAGCTTGTAAATTTTTAGTGAAGAATTTTAGTATAAAATACTAGAAGTGTGCCTTACAAACTGGAAATAAATTTAAACATTATTCCATTGACTGATAATTTTACAATGACCCAGGAGAAGCATTAAATGCATCATTATAATATAAATTCTTATACCGGCAATCTATAGGCTGTACGTACCAAAGTTGTGACCGATGCATTCAATTTCTTGATAAGAATTTATTCAATCGATTTTCATTCTGTCTCAATATGAGAAAAGCAAAACATATATTTGATTTCGAAAGAGCAATATTGTTATGGTGAAACGCATTAGTAAGTGTATTTGTCAGAAAAAGTGATGTTGGTACTTGGAGCCACTGATAAGGCATGAGCTGCCATTCTTTAACAGGGTTACAGACTTATAACCCTGCTAAAGTCTCCTGCTGATAAGGTAACATAAGATAAGGTAACCTTGCGTTGCCACAAGTCAACGCAAGGTTTACTCAGCTAGTCAGCAGTACTAGAAAGAATTCTTACTTACCTTCGGTTATGCCTTTGACCATCGTGAATTATTTTTATAGTGAGCCTATAACTGTTGACATTAGACAACGATGGTTTCCGTTTTACTTTTTACTACTGGTTGGAAGTGAATTGAATTGTGCAATAAATGCTGTTCCACCGGCCTTACATATCGGCTTCAAACTGCAGTCGACAGCATACAGCTTTATGCTCTTACTCATGGCAAAATACTGGTAGAGGGATAACTGACAAAAATGTGCTATCCTCAGAGAAGATACCGCTGTTATAGAGAAAAATTTAGGTAAAGGAATGCAAAACTGAATAGTAAAGACAAAATGATCACTAGAAGAAGACTGCAGAGTCAGACGGTTGAGCAGAAAACATTTATATAGCATTAAGTTTTACCTAGGTCATAATTACCTCCTAGATCGACAAAGCTTGGGGGTCTAGGGTACAAAGGTTTAGGAAGGCCCAAAATCATCTTATAATTCTTATAACCCTACTAACGGGAAACAAAAAAGCGAGCTTTTGGTGCTTTTGGTGAAAAATATACCTAGAATATTAAACAGGCCCTGCACTTATCCATATACACCTCCTACTGGGAGATAGATCCAGGCAGATTAAGAGTTTGTGAGGCTGTTGATAATTTAATGAGGTAAGAATTCGACAGGTATCGTACATGTAGAAAAACTTTGAAATCTCACTCTTGCCTGAGCATCTAGGATAACTCATACCCTTTTTCGACGAATGTATTCCATGGCGCAGATAGCATCTTTCAAGAAGACAACTGTTTATTCCCTTCAGTGATGTTAGGAGGTGATTCTTTTCACAGACATTAGGATTTCGGGAGCAAGGAAGCACTGAAAATATACACTATTCGGAGTTTAAGATGGGATCTCCCAGTGATCGGCAAATATGCTCCCCATTACGTTACAAAAGCACATGGAAGGCATATCTTAATTTATCGCAGTTTCACTGTGAATGAGGTTAAGAAATATTAATCCTTTTCGCAGTGAGAAATGCTAGAGATAGCATTTGTGGCTTGAGTAGGTGAAAAGATTATGAAGTATATCATCTCAACCGTTTAATTTACGACAACCTTTTACTTTTTTTCAGTCACGGTTCTCAATGTCAAGAGATATCTAACGAGCACGTCATGGAATCTATATACTATCGCGTTAGGACTCTTTTGCTGCGAGAATAAAACCTACATTTTTTAATGTTAGCAGTTTTAATGCTGGAGTTTTCTTAATTTAGCAATTATAATACTCGAGGTTTTTTACTGGTTGATCAGTCTACTATCTTTAATCACTGAAGATATTATAAACTTTCTAAAGCCGAAGCTTTGCCAGTTTTTCTCTTTAACATTTAAAACTCATGCCTTGTCGATTTCTGATTAGCTGGATCTGACATTTAAAACTTATCTCTTTGTAGGTCAGTAATTTCTAAGAACAATGTTACAACGTACAAGGAGATCAATAAGCTCTCTCTTATTAAATTTGCTTAAGAAAATAAAATAGTTTGCTTGAAATTATTTCTGTTTCGATGTTTTTAGATAAAAGTTTGTTATTACTCTTGTGTGAAGAAAATTTATAAAAATTTGTAATACTAGAAAACTGAAAAATAAACCTTAATGAGAAAATTTATAGTAATAGTAAATAATGAAAACTAATATTCATTTGACTTGCAAGTAAAATCATTCTGTCATTTTTGGTATCCTTGTCTATTCATCCCAGTTGTTCCGAGGGTTGTGCGCCCGGACATGGCATTTAACAACATGTTATTCCATATTGAACCTATAACTAACTATTTAGTTTTGCTTTCAAATTATGTGCTATCATAGTATGTATATGCGTATTTTATGTGTGCCTATATCTTCTTTCCTTTACTAATTATATTATTTCTTTTACTTCTTGTTTTCATTTTGGTTTACGAGAGAAGCTGTTTTTTTTTCCCTTATTCTTTTCTTTTTTTTTTTTCTGTTAACTCTGTCCTGAACTTGCTCACCTTAATATTAACTTAACTCTAATTCTTATTAGTTTACTTATTCATTCCGTTTTCGATTATTTATCTTTACAATTTTTAATGAATATCAAAATTACCATTATAACTGGACTTTTTAACTTTTTACTTTTAGAAGGAGAGCTGGAAGTCATTAAAGGTGAAAAATCATTGGGTAAAATGGGACCAGGAAAAGCTTTCGGAGAGCTGGCCATTCTTTACAATTGCACGCGGACTGCCACAGTTAAAGGTTAGTACGCAGACGCATTCAGTGCGTTCGTTTGATTGACTTGTAATTATATACTTCAAAACTTAGATGCGGTGAGTTTTCGTCTTCCGCACGTATCAGAGAAAAACGTCTGGACCTAACTAAGATTAAATTAAATTTACAGTCATAAACGTTTATTTTCAACGTCACAAACTATAAACAAATATAAATTATTTATGGATATCATACAAATAAGACGCAATGCAACACGTGTTTCACATTACATGCACAAAAATAAAGTATAAAATAGCCAATGTTTGTATCAGATATAAAATAGTTTTAAATATAATTTATTAACAGATGTACAGATTTTTGAAGTTTATAAGTAAGCAGCCAAATAACCAAAAGATTTATCGCTTCCAATATCTCTATGAAATTGGCTAATTGATTAATTCGTTAACACAAGAACTGCCAAGAATAGGGTTACTTTCTTGAAGGATTTTCTCATGTTTCCATGAGAAAGTTGAATTAAATTACACATAGGAAAACAATGGAAATGTCCATACAGAGAACCCATTCACCAGGGTTTGGGCCAGGATCAAACTACCAGTTTACCTGTCTTTACCCACTTAGTCATTTGTGGGCCTATCTACTAACAGTTTTCTAGCAAGATTTGAAGAAAAAAAAGGAAGAAGAAGAAGATGTACCGCATCCATCAGCGCTCCATTCAAACAGAAGGGGTACCTGACAATTTCAAATCGGTCTAGATAGGAATTCAGGCAATTAAGATCAGTCGAAAATTTACACAGGAATATTTCGTGGTTTAAAGGTGGTGGGGTTATTACTCGTTTAAAGAAATAATTCTTTCCACGATATATCTTTAGTTAGATCTAAGATCCAAGTTCATGCTCAACACGACATTTGCGAGGAATCAATAAGTCAATTGCATGGTATTCCTTCTTCTTCTTTTTCTTTTAACTCTAATTTCAGCTTCTCGTGCTCCGCAAAGTATACCACGAGGTTTACACAAGTAAGTTATAGCACTAACAAAATAAATACAAAAATATACAATAGCACTGCAAATGGGAACCTAAAATTATTAAAAAATAATAATAATAAGTAAAAGAAAAAATGATTATTAAGGAAAAGAAAAAAAATTTGATTAATAGAAAAAAATCTGAAAGGTTTCAGATTTTAAAGGTCGCTCAAAAGGGTTTGCTAAGGTCACTCTCTCTCTTAGCTCACAGTCTGCTGTTACACTCCTTAACCCATTTTGTTTTGTGTGTTTTTAACTTAAGCACCATTTTCTTTGCATTTACGCCATGGACAATTCAACAGCAAAATTCTAAAAATTCTAAAAGTAGCGTAGCAGTATAGGTTTCAGAGTACCTGATGCAGCATTAAGTGTTGGAACACATTTCTCTGTTTTTTCCAGTCTTTTCCCAGTTCATCATATCAATGTTCCGTTTTCTTACTAAGATAGCTTTAAAAAACTTTTTTTTCTGTCTTTCTCTTATTAACGTTTTGTGTGTTTACTCTATTTATGAAATATCACGTTCATGGCGCTTGCGCCGCATAAAATTCGATTCAATAGAAAAATCACAATGTATTTAAAATCAACACATCATTAGAATTTTTAAAAACAACACATCATTATAATTTCCGATAGACAGTCGCGCGCGCTGGAGATAAAAATATTTTATTCCGAGCAATGTGTTGCCTCTGCTCGCTTTGAGGTCGTTGAGTTTCTTAACCAAATATTCGTTAAAGTTTTACAAAATATGAAACAGGTAATAAAACAAACTCGAAATTGAAAATTCAGGCTTCCATTTGTCCATGCTCGGGTGGTGGATTACGTCATTCAAAGTTTGATAGCTCTAGGTACCTTTTTAAAATTTTTTTAAGAATGCGAGAAGCACGTATACAGTGGTGCAGATTCTTCATTATTTAATGTCTTTAAACAAGGCGATAATATTTGGTGTCAATTGAAAAATGATACACCGTTTATAGTGATTCAACGCAAAATGCCGTTTCAAGCCTAATATCCCATTCGGTACTAACCTCCCTTTTGGGCTAATAAAATAGAATAAAGTAATGAAATAGAGAGACCTCAATAATTTAAATTGAAAATGAAATTCTGAAAAGTAGAGATTCTTTCTTTAGTCCAGAAAAGTTCAGAAAAAATTAGTGGCCAAGCTATAGACAGACTGTTCAGGCAATAGACCAATATGGTTTTTCCTACAATTTTCACTGAATAAAAGTTGATCAATTTTCAACAGGTTTGAAGTCATGTCACCTGTATCTCCCTCTGCTGGACATAACGAACGCATTCAAGAACATGCTTTACATTTTCATCGCCGTTATTGCAGCTACACAAAGTATGTGAAGCAAGTCCAAATCGCTTTAAATGCTTCTTAGAATTGCTATGTCCAATCAAAAATTGAGTTACTTTAAAACCTGCTAAAAATTGATCAAATTTTTTTCTGTGGAAATTATAGAAAAAACCATATTAGTCTACTGTGCTTTGGGTGAGGCCATATATTCTCTTTTTCGAATACATCATTTCTATAAAAGCCCTTCCATTGAGAAACAAGAACACGTATATTTAAATCGGTGTGAAGTTTCGTGGTTAGCTTTGCTACAGCGTCATGAACGTAAGTAAAATGAATGTCAGTATCAATATCTTGCAAGATCTTAATGATAACATGAATTTCAAACGCAAGTTTCTATGAAACACTAATTTTCTTTAGAAGTTGTAGCGAAGAAAGGGAATCGCTACATATTAAAATGCGCATCGATCTCAAACGACTACAGGAATTCGACTTGATCAGATAGAAGATGTTCTTGGTATATTAGCAAGTTTCAATAAATTTATAATTCCTGGCCAACAAGCAATGTCAAAAGCCTCGCCTCTTTTATATCTAGAAACATCGAAATCGTTGGCATCGTTCAAAAAAAGGGCTAGGGTACCTTGGGTTGTCATACCAGCACGCACAAAAAGGAACCCCTGAGAGGAGTTACGCCATTTGAATTTAGAGTAAATTTCCAGAAATTTTACTTCAACAAAAACAAACTAAATACTGTTTACATGGACAAAAGAACCATATAAACAGCAAAAAATATTCAGCACTGATTGCCATTTTGCTAAAAGTCTGAGAAGAGATTTCAAGATTTTCAGAAGATATTAGCTTCATCTCCGAATATTTGCTACTTTATTCTCAACTGACGTCAAAGGTGCCAGCAAACTTGCAAATGCGATGTATAGAATTCCAATCAAATATGCAATTTAAAGAAAATTTATTTAAGTTCTGAACGTCGTGTCTAAATGAAGAGTCTCCCAACCAGTAAAATAGTGATGCTACTGGTCATACCCGTGTTGCCCGCGTTCGAATCCCGGGAAAGGCATGGATATTTGTAAGTGTAAGGTGCCTACGCGATAAGAAGGCGCTCAAAATACACGGCCAGCCAAAAGTTCTCTCGAGAGGCTGGAGGTAGGGGAAGAGGGATATGAGACGCTTGAACCACCACCGGGGCTGATATTCCTCAAACTCGCGGCAAAAAATTAACAGTTATCTAGATTCAGCAATACCCCAATCACTTGGCTCAGCACCTCTGTAATACCCCAAGTGATTGGGGTATTACAGAGGTGCTGAGCTTCTATCTTTGTTAGTTGAAGAAACGTTCTGAGCAGTTAGCAAATATTTTATGTACTTGATGTTTCCTTTTTGGAAGCATGTATGTTTAATTGCAAGTGGTGGTTTTTTTTATAATATATTTTTTTTTATTTTTGTGTATAAAGTATGTAGAAAATAAAATAGAACAAACATTTTAACAATAAACTTAAAGACATTCTTCGTAATCGCTGCCATATTTACGCAGGTACTTGGAGAACAGATTTAGTTTTTGAATTAAACATTTTATGTTCATATCCTTTTCTTAATGTAATAAATGAAATTTGATCAAATGCATTGTTATTATAGATTGTACTGCAGTCATCAGAAATACTGAATATTTTATGTCGCCTGGCATATTTTCATCGGTATGTGCAACCTTCGGCAAATCTTCATAAATTCAGCAGTTCAGAAATTTCGAAAATTTGGACACCCACATGCTGGTGCACAAATGCTCCGTATTTGCTTTTATTAACACAGAAAACACTACATGATCTTTTTGTATGAATTTTCTAAAACAGTTTGCATCTTATCGTGCTGCCACTTGTCAGGCTTATCTTAATAAATGCATTTCGTTTTACGTTCAAATTTGTCCTATAGTCCTACTGTTTTATCTGCTTCCCAGATTATATACATGATAGGAGTTTTAAATAGAATTAAGAATCTAAGTTTAAGAAAGTGACGACTGACAAGTCTAGAAAGCTGTAAAGAGAATCCTCTGTTTATATCTGAAATGACCCAGCCATCAATGGCTAGTTTCTATCAATTGGTGAGCCGAGCTAGCTACTAGGCCGTAACTTTGTGAACTGTAAATACTGACTGTTTGCTATTCCAACGAGAGAGGAAGTCAATCTGTGTTCTTTAATTTTGAACTGTACTTCAGTCTGAAAACACAATAAATTTTTTGTAGTTTTTATTTCTGTTGTATTTATTTACTAGTATTATTTTATTTAATATTCTGATACTGTCAGTTTCGCTTGGAAAGTTAGAAAGTTGGACTAGTTTTAGAATTAAGGCAAAATGAATTTAATCTTGTTCATTTATAGTTACTCTTGATTTATATAAAATTTGTTTTGAAAATAAGAGTGCAACAACTGGTATTTGATACTATGTTAACAAATAATATGTCACAAGAGTCACATGATTAATGGAAAACGATATTTACAGTTAATGTGTTTGAGCATTTCCTTAAACTATCTTATTTCGTTAAATTTACGTATTTTTAGAGCAACTGATTATGTTGAATAAAACTATTGAATATTTTACAGCTGTGACTGATGCCTTACTTTGGGTTCTTGATCGAAGAGCTTTCCAAACCATCATGATGGTCACAGGTATACAAAGACAAGAGGAAAATATAAATTTTTTAAAAAGGTAATAATTAATCCCTTCTATTTAAATATTAAAGTCTTATTCAATCGTATTGAATAAATAAAACTTCTCCTTATTGAATCAATTTGTAGAATCACTATTTCATTTCATAGTCAGAGCATTTCATGTGATATATAGAAGTTCATATGATATATAGAAGATGAAACAATAACATTACATCAAGAAAAGTTAAATGCAATCAAGATAATTTCATGCGTTTTATTTAAAATAAATATTCTCGTATTAACTTTGTTAAGTTTTGCAAAAAATTAAGTGAAAATGCAGATTTACATATTTACCTTTTTGTTATTTCTTTCATTTTGTTTCGTAAGAATTTCATTTTGTTCCGTCCACTGCACATACATTTCTTTATCTTCGCATTTTGTAAGATCCTGATCATAAAGTTTTCTGATGTTAAAGTTTCAATTGCAGTAACTACATACGTATATGACTTTAGAAATCATACAAAATGTTTTCAGGTTAGTGAAATGGGTATCAATATGTCGGAATGAATATTTATGATACGGAAGCTATCTTAAACGTTTCAGCCTTAAATCTATACCATGTTATGTTGGGATTCCGGAAGAATGGGCAACACTTGACTATCGATTTCGCGCCTATTAAAAATTATGGTTATAGCAAGGACTCATTCGCTTAAAAGAAGTGATAAATCTATGTTATTTTAATAATTTAAATACACATTTGATATATTACTACCCTTTAAAGTGCATTCTAGTGTAATTCATTGAAATCCTTGCTAATGAGAAATTGAAATCCTTGCTGATGAATTTGGATTCCTTAAAATAATAGGATAGTTGGAATTGCAGGAGTGAAGAAGAAGGCATTTGCCAGCAGGAAATGTATGGAATAATCTGGACTCACTGCTCGATATAGTCATGAAAAGATCAGACGGCAGTAGCTGAAACAGGGAATTCACATGATAGTGAAAACCTCTGATAAGGTGTGTAGCATATGCTCGCAGCCTGTTAATCGTTCAGGAGTATATTGTAATCGAAATTCTGCTAATAGTTCATAGTATCACGGATTCTAGACTTCGTAAAAAATTATGTGCTGACCTTACGAATGCACTTCTAGTATATGGGGAGTCGGAACCCTCGATGCCGACAATTTTAAATTGGCCATTTTTGATGTACCTTTTCCCAAAATCTCCTGCAGACACACATTTGAAATTTTTGTGTAATTAAAGTAAACCCATTTGACTATGCTGAAGTGAGCTTTTGAAACATTTTGAGTTTTAGGCATAGTAAAATTTAACACTTTACTGACCCCGCTCCCCCCAAAAAAAGTGAAAATTTTATTTTTAGGTTATCACGAAAAGCTCATTTCAGTAAATATTAGAAAACATAATAAATAATCCATAAAAAATTTACATACCTGTGAGAAGTAGTTCCTGAGAAAAGGTACTTCGAGAATAAAAAAAAATCACATTTGGAGAAAAACCCGTTTTTATGTAAAAATCCTCATTTATCAAAGCATTCGATGATAAATTTAAACTAGACTTTTTACGGTTCTAATTTTCGTAGAGATTAAGATATGGTATTTTTAGAAAGCTAAAAATGTAGAAAATGCAAAAATGCAAAAATCCCAAATCATCATTTTTTGAAACATTTTGGCTTCCAACATCCCTTAAAGGCTGTTGAAGAGTACAGATTGTTAGCGTACAGAATTCTGTACGAAGCGTACAGATGCGAAGTGTACAGATTCTTAGGCTGTAGGTTACTTCTGTAATAATCCTCGAAAACGTTTTTTGAAGTTCTTAAAATAGGCTGCGATTTTCTCCCTGAGCTTTCAACTCAAGCTGGGGAGCCGGGGACTCATAAACTATAATTTGGCGAATAACAATTGAGGAAATATTACGTAACTGGTAAGATTCAGTTGTGAGATATCAACCAAAATCAGCTTTAGTCTGATTGGCTTTGACCCTGAATGTGTCTATATGATCGTTCTTCGTTATATTTATTGTCACCAAGTAGTTATCCTTATTTGCTTGCACCATTTGACTTCCGAAAAAGATGATCTTATTGCTGTTAGTCTCTTTTTGTCTGTACGTTATAATTCTAAGTGTTCATGGTTAACCGTGGTATGTTGAAACAGACTTTCCATTGTTTACTCCAAATTTGTGGTATTATGGAAGCCATGAACATAAACAATGCTGCCTCTGTGGGACCTCAGCCTTTATAATCTAAATAAAAAGTTATGATTTAGCTGCTTAGTTCTAAAATGTCTGTCCTTCAGGAAAGAAGTAGCAAATAGATTCGCATTAAGTTCTGTTTTAGTTTAATAAGCCAACAAAAGAAATCAAATTGTGCTTCCCATCGATTTAAATACTTGAGTTTTTGAAAACTTCGAAGTATTATTTGTTACTTTAATGTTATAAAGTGCAAGAAGTAGTCAAATAAGCCTTTTAATTAAATTTTATTTCTTTTCGTTCGCTAATGAAGTTTCATTAAACTTTTGTTTAGCGGCGAAGATGGTAATTCATCGAAGTAAGAACAGTTAAGTAGGGGTAGTTAGGTACCTAGGTTTAACTTTATAGCTTAACGTTGTGAAAATTATTGTGATGTTTTACTAATATTTAGATTTAAGTACAGTTCTACACTTTCCTTCTTGCCTCATATCACAGCATTCTATCACATCAGAAAGTTATGTAAATTTAATGGTACGTGGTATAGTTTAAACGTAAAATGTATGATTTGACTGAAAGGGCAGTGAAGCAGATGATATGTCGTCGCAGTGTCTTACTAAGAATTAGTTCTAGTGTATTCTTGTCATTGCTAAAGCTTAATCAATTGCTATGTCTTTGCTAAATGCTTTACGACTTCAGAAATATTGTAGACTAGAAATAATACTAGCAAAGACCAAATATTTAATTTTGAACTTAGAACCTTGTTTTGTAAATCATTGACACCTTATCTACCAGAGTAGGTGGCCTCATTTTGTGAAATTCTATTACGTTAAGTTGTCGACTTAATTTGCGTTAAATTTTCTGTTTCGCCGTCAGGTGGAGCTAAATGAGTTTTAATGTAATTTTAATTAGACTTACGTTTTGCATTGTCAGTTAAATAGTTTTTAAGAATAATATATCGGCAGGAAGTTACTATAACTATGTGTGTTTCTAGTTATTAATTTGAACATTCTGATTAAGTTACTTCACGCAACAGAAGCTATGCCATAACGAATTACTCCATAATTTTAGAAAGACTCCAATAAAAAGTTTGTGACGTCAAAATGAAATTAAACTTAAAGATAACAGTATTCTTTAAATCTGTTGATCATTTATCATCTACATGCTGGTTACTGGTGGTGGGTCTTTTACAGGTTGGTTACCAGAGTCCCTTAAAGCTGTTGGTCATTGACCATCTACGGGTTAATCTGTCACTATATTCTGTCAGCAAAACCATAAGGTCACTGATGTGGGGAAGTGCAAAAAAATTAGATAAATTGTTGAAATTAAATCATACTAAAGGACTCCCCTGAGTGTAGCCTAAAGACACCCTTGACCGTCCAGCTCATGCTCACTAGTGACCGTTAAGGACACTCGCCAAAGTGATGCAGTGTTCTTTCAGTGGCAACATTTGCCAAAATACTGACGTATAACGTAACGCAATATCACGTAAGTCTCCAAAAATTCGGAAAAGACGTTTTCAATGTCAAACATCCCCGCATAACTAGATCTACGTAAGTCATACTCATATGCTGTTCAAAGATCAACTATTGTCTAGACCAGGGTTTCTTAAACTTTTCTCAGTCGCGAACCCTTTTTATCACTGAGACTTTTTTCCCGACCTCAGGACCCCATAATATTTACGAAAATTTTGTGGGACCTCATAAGCATTGCTCAAATCCGACACACACGTGAGTGAAACTGGCAAAATTTTCACTTGTGCTGTAATATATTATTGCAGTTTTAGGTCATTAACTTCTAATTTTAAGACATAGAACAATGTGAAAATTTTAACTAAGTAACAGATGAAATACAAAGCAAGTGAAATGAATGTTTATGTTATAAAAAGAATGCGTCCAAACGTTTTCGTTTTTCTTTATCTGTATTGTCATATCTTTATATATTTTCAGATACTTTGTGTAAAAATATTTGATAAATGCAAAATTATTATAATAATTTAAAGAAATATTAAAGCAGCTAAAATTTTTGCGACCCCCTGCTGCAGGCCCCGCAACCCCCATGGGAGTCGCGACCTACAGTTTAAGAACCTCTGATCTAAACGGTAAAACTATTACAAAATCATCCTCTGATTACCAGTTAGTTCCCACAGAATATTCGCTTAAGAATATTAAATAAAAGAAACTGTAAATGTAAATACGCCAAGCTCAGATTTTTAGCCCATTCGACCGTGCAATCTGACTCCAATTCACAGTCTAAACAAAAAATATCTACCGTTCATAATGAATTACTTGCAGAGCAAACTGACGATACTTAATTGCATAATAATCGAGTAATTATCTTTATATTAATATTGCTTTAAAATGGTTAAATAACTTCCTAATTAAATTTTTCAGTTATTTTAAATTTCAGAGTCTATTTGAAAATAATAATCAACTTTGTGACATTTTGCGAAGTGTCATCTTTTTCACATATTCTTTAATTATTTTCTAACTAGTCATGGATTATAATACAAATATTAAGTTAAATCATAGAAAAATAATTTTTCTTTTATAAACAGGCAATCTACAGGCGATGACATTTAGTTATTTTATTTAACGTAACTTTTCATACACAAACGATATTTATATCATAGCTTTTGATGCTATTCTGAACATAAGGCTAACAACGTGGTGAATTTAGCTGCATGGGAAAGAAGAACTGGATTCCAGTTATCTTGATCTCTTATTCTTCTTTCAGGTCAACTAAAATTAAGTTTGCGATTAATTTATTTCACACGTTTTTAATTATTTCATTATAAATATTATGGACGGGTAATACATTACAATAACACTTTTTCAGAAGCTATCAGGAATGAGAT